GGGGGGGGGGGGGGGGGGGGGGGGGGGCACCTGGCCAATTCAAGAGTGGTGGGCTGTCATCCGGCAGCCATCGGGCGGCTGCGCCCCCAAGCGATCCAGCGGCGCATACAATTCAGCAGCCTGCGGCGCTGGCCGGCTATTGTGTTTATTGTCAGGACAAACGCCACTGGTTGGCGGCCAGCACTGTGTTTCCCTCTCGGGCAGTGATCCAATGTGTAAAAACACAACTGCCAAAAACCACCAGGATCCCCCCGACGCTGGTCAACTACCACGCCGACCTGGCAAACGGCACCACCGGCACGGGGTGGCGCTCTGACCTGAGGCCCATCGACATCACGCAGCCGGAGGGGCCGTCCTTCACGGTCGAGGGCACGCTGGTGCGCGCCCTTGTTTTGCGGCCGTTGGGGCCGCTGTGACGTCACCATGCGTCAGCGCGACGCTCCCGTCGCCCTGCCCGTCGCGCGCGCGCGATGCTGCCCGCGTATATGCCATGCACTCGCCTTTGCATGGGTGCACAGGCGCGCTCTCACCCGCCCACCCGGTCTTACATTCTATCCCTGTCAAGCTGCCTCCCATACAACTCAAAATTTCCGCCAACCAACCCTACCCCCTGGCCCACCAAAAAGGTCAAGTGGCAGAAGTGGCAGGTGCGGCTGGGCTTCACCCCCCGAGAGGGCCTCGTGCTCCACAACGTCGGCTGGCAGGAGGAGGGCGGCCGCGTGCGCCCCATCCTGCACCGCGCCAGCCTGGTGGAGATGGCCGTGCCCTATGGCGACCCAAAGTGAGTCCCCTAGAACTCCTCTCCACTCTCCTCATTTTGTGCTTTGCTTGGGTCTTTGGGCCCCTGATTATCCGACATAGACCTTCGCATTGGGGCTTGAGATGCTCGCATGTCAGGTCGGCGTCCAGCAGTTCGCACGCGCCCTGCGAATGTTGGCCGACAACATGCGTTTTTTCTGCTAGGTTTTCAAGCCGTCTGCCGCCCCATCAACCCGACCCCCCGCAGCCAGCCGTACGTGCGCAAGTGCGCGTTTGACGTGGGGGACTACGGCATGGGGTTCACGGCCAACAGCCTGGAGCTGGGCTGCGACTGCGTCGGCCACATCAAGTACTTTGATGGAGTGGTCAACAACGCAAAGGTGGGGCCGGCTTTTTGGCCCGAACGCGTGGGCGCGCCGGACACCTGGAGTTTGGTGCGCACTCCCCGTGGTACAGCGTGCATGCTCGTGCAAGGTCGGCCAGCCAACACCCGAATCTCAGTGCTGCTTGGCCCCACGGGGTTGCCGTCGCCAGCATCCTAGCTGGCACGGAAACCAGACCCTAACCACCGAACCGCTACACCCTGATCCCGGCTGGCGCCGCCCCCTCTTTCCCCCGCGCCCAGGGCGAGCCGCTGGTGATCCGCAACGCCATCTGCCTGCATGAGGAGGACGCGGGGATGCTCTGGAAGCACACAGACACGCGGCTCAACAGGGTCGAGGTGCGGGCCCCTCCCCTGGCCCCTCCCCGGCCCCTCCCCTCCCCTGCCCCCGTGCTTGTTGCCCCCTCGCCCCGGCACACCGCCGCGGCTGCCCCCTCGCACCTCCTATTTCCCCTGGCCCGCAGCGCTTTCGTGCGCTGCCGCTGATTGTCCTAAGGGCTTCTGTTGTGTCTCCCTGGCCCCTGGCCCCTGGCGTGCTGCCCGGCCTTCGCCATAGCCCTGTTGCTGCGACCCCTTTGCAGGTGCGGCGCAACCGGCGCCTGGTGGTGTCGCAGGTGTCAACCTTTGCGAACTACGAGTACGCCATGTACTGGAACTTTTACATTGTGAGAACAGCCGCCTGGGATTATGCAATGTTTGTTTTCATCCTGGGACTCTTTCACCAGGCCGATCCCAATTCGGGAAGTGCTGCTATGAAGTTGCATTCTTCCTGCATCCTGTTTGGGTTTGACTTGGCGTCGCGCCCTCGCGACCGCATTCTCGCTCGCGGCTTGAATCCGCCACGGCGTAAAAGGTGACGCTTACCTCCCTTCCAACCCCCACAACTGCCGGCTGCGACCCCCTCCCCC